TGGAAGAAGTGTAGCCAGAATGCTCCTCAGAAGCAAGAATGGCCAGACTTCGTCTCACTTACTTTGGTCATATTGTAAGAAGAGACCATTCCTTGGAAAAGGATATCCTGCTTGGTAAAGTGGAAGGTCAACAAAATAGGGGAAGGGCCTCAGCAAGATGGATTGACACAGTGGCTACAACAATGGGCTCAGGTACAGCCAGGATCTTGGAGCTGGCACAGGAGAGGGCAGTGTTTCGTTCTGCTATACATAGGGTCGCTATGAGTTAGAGATGACGCGATGGCACCTAACAACAGCAACAACATATAACCATTTAATACTCACCACAAACTGCCAAAGATTTGTTTCTTTCCTCTCATTTTACAATGAGCTATCTGAGACTCAGTAAAAGCTTGGAATTTATAACAAATTCATATGCAGGATAAATGGTATGATACTGAATCTCCATATTTTAAATGATAAATAACAACTGATAAAGAGAGCGTTTGCCCCTAAGTTACATTTAATTTGACGCCCAGCAGTTCCTGTGCCAATTCCCAGCCTCTGCAGCTGTATGAACCTAACTACTACTCACGCCTCATTGCCTCTGAGTCCCTGTTGATAAAATTGCTATAATACCCCTGCCCTTCTTGATTCCAGGGGCTCTTCTAAAGATCAAACAAAATAATAGAAGTCAAAGTGCTTTGAAAATCTACAATAATATTTCAAAGTTCTCTGAGTCATGTCCATTTCTACACCCTGCAGGTGACTTGCGCACATGGCCACGGGGAATCACTCTGCTGTGACCGAATTCCTTCTGGTGGGGCTCTCCCAATACCCGGAGCTCCAGCTCTCTCTGTTCGCGCTCTGCCTCATCATGTACCTGATCATCCTCCTGGGAAACAGCCTCCTCATTCTCATCAGCATCCTGGATTCCCGCCTCCACACCCCCATGTACTTCTTCCTTGGGAACCTCTCATTCTTGGACATCTGTTACACATCATCAACCATTCCTCCAATGCTTGTCATATTTTTGTCTGAGAGAAAATCCATATCTTTCATAGGCTGTGCTCTTCAGATGGTCATCTCCCTTGGCTTGGGCTCCACTGAATGTATTCTCCTGGCAGTGATGGCCTATGACAGGTATGTGGCCATCTGCAACCCACTGAGGTACCTCATCATCATGAATAGGGTACTCTGTGTGCACATGGCTGCGTGGTCCTGGATCACAGGCTATCTGATCGCCCTATTACAAACAGTCCTAACAATGGTGTTGCCTTTCTGC